TGGGATACTTTGTTCCTTCGGAAACTCTTCCGGCCATTTGGGAGTTGAGCACAGACTTTTATTTGCACAATCCTCAAGCTTTAAAATACACAAATTCTAAGATGTGAGTATTTCTTAATAGATTACACATGTTCTGAATTTGACCTATGTTGTTGATTTATGTTTTCCAGGAAACCCAAAACTCAATGGTGGAATCCATCTGTTATGAAATGTCTTCCAATGCATATAGTGATGAACATAAATCTGTAACCGAAATAATACAAATACCCAGTTCTGATGTAGATATGGTCGATGTATATGCTGATTATCATAGGTCGGCTATTCAGCTTCAAAATAATCATTAAATATTGTTCTAATTTAATTTTCAGCTCAAAATATATTTAATTTCAGACCACATGAACTAAGCGTCTTACAGGATCTCTTTGCATATATGAAGAGTAATACACCATATTATACTTCAGATAATAGTCCTTTTATTGTACGAGGCAGAGGTCCTGGCGCTAATAAAAATCCATCAGTTTCAGGACAAAGCTCAACAAGTTCCACTAGTAGTACGACCAGTAGTACTAGGTAAAGCGCTTATTAGAAATAGTCATACATGTATTTGTATTAATGGGATATATTGGGTTTTAGTTCAACTGAAACCTCAGATTCTTCAAGTGATGACGAACCAGGATCAGAAATGTCTGAAAGAAATATAGCAGAAGTGCCACAGATAATACTTAGAAAATATCAAGATCTTCTTCCACCCATGGATAAAGTATATGGATGTGAGCCCAAAGAACCTGACCAAGAAGATTTGGATATGTATGTCTTTTCTTACAAAACTCAAATATTAAAGAGAGTTCGAAAAAACTAATTTTTTATTGATATATTTTTATCAACCTCATTAAGTGAACAAACTTCAATTTAAAGAGATATTAAACAATTTTGTAAAAAGTAGTAACTGAAAGATATTTTTTTGTGCTCAAAGTATCTTGGTTTAAATGCTCCAATGCCAAATTGTTTTATTTTAAATATATCTCTTGGAACCTTTGGAAATAATTTTCGAAGGAGATATTTTTTTTTTCACAAAGAAATTCGATTTGCTAATTAACTTTCCGTAGGGTAAGTTGAAGTAATCGCAAAAAAATCGAAAATGAAATTTTTTATATATCTTTACGAATCAGAGGTTTCTGAACATTTTGGCATACCTTAAAAAAAATGGATATATGTGTGCGTGCGTGTTTCGCGAACACGGATCAACCGATTGGAATAATTCAAAAAACATTCGATTCCTACTGATAAGGAGACATGCTGATTAGTTTTTGAAAAGGCAGGTCTAGCCGTTTTGGAGATATGGGGCAAACAGTGCCAAAAATGGAATTTCAGTTCAACAACATTTTACTTGTATTGACGAAATGAACAATTGGTAAGATCTTTGTAGAGGCAGGTCCAGCGTCTCCAGAAATCCAATAAAAAAAGTAAAAAATAATGCCAAGTGGGGGTAAAAAATGAACATTAGACTTATGTATATCGTATTATCAGATATTTTATAAAAGTTATAATAATAAGTACAAATTTTGTTTACATTTCCGTACCAATGTTTACACGCTAGACGACTACGAGGCGCTTATGCGCTTTGATATAAGAACGTCATTTTTATTCAAAAATTTCAAAATTTCTCAAAAATCTAATTTTTTCAAAGTTTTGCAAAGTTTATTGTAATAATTTAGTTTTCAGTACGGAAAGTTGCAGCAATTTGCCTTAAAGCACGATACCATGCACCACTAGTTTTATGTTTTCTCGATGTTTCAAGTCATTAAGAATCGAATGAGACCAAAATCGAAAAAAAGGATGTATGTGTGTGTGTGTGTGTGTGTGTATGTGTGTGTGTGTGTGTGTATGTGAGGCGATTTTTGACCTCTCGTCGACGTTTTCTCAAAAACTATTGAACCGATTTCAAATATTTAAAAGCCATTTTATGAAACTTGCATTGATTAATTTTGCATAAAAAAAATCTCTCCATTTTTCATTCATTTGAATCTTTTTCAGATACAAACAATATGTAGCAATACATAGACAATCTACACCTAAATCATATCTACTAACACATGAACAATCAAAGAATGATCTACTGGAAAATTTGCGAGATGAAACGAGAGGGCGATTACCGATTTCAAAATTAACTACTTGTTTGAAAATAGTTCCCAATGATGATATCCCCGAAGACAGTGTTTACAGTGTTCAAGTACCTATTGTTCCACAAGAATCAATAGATATGTATCAAAAATATATAGAATCAGCAAGAGAGGGGTACATTAAACCTCATTTAGAAGATTTAAAAATGTACAGGGAATATGTTGCCAAGAATTCAACAGTATCGGAGTTTGAAAAGTTTCATAACATATAAAGGCAATCCTGTTATTATTGAAATTAATGCAATGGTTAATGAACATTCTATTTCATGTTATAAACATTTGAATAGTATTCTTGAGAATTTAATTGAGAAACCTCAACATTCTATTTTATTTATATTTTGTTCAGCATATTTAATAAGAGAAAAGAAATAGAACTTTAGAGAAAACTTTTATATTATAGTAATTAATAAAAATAAAATAAGTTTACAATAAAACTTATAAATTTCTAATAAGAGCGATCAATGGAGCAACCGATACGTTTTAATGCATATTTGAAAACTGGAATAAAATATATCTGATAGGAATTGTTAAACTGTCTTAATATGTTATGTATATATAATATATAAAGAATATTCATCAACAACAATTAGCACTAAAAGCCAAGATGTGATATATTTATAAAGGCTTTTTGTGGTATTTTATAATAAACTTGTTCATATAGTATTAGAATTATTATCAACTATTGTTATATTAATAAATTAATATAATTATGTATCTATATTTTCAATGTTTATAAATTGAACTAATAATATACGTATATCTGTGAAAATAGTTTTACTGTCTCTGAATACCAAAACTATGAATGTTTACATCTAAATATCTACATATATTTTACTTATTGGTAAAATAAATAACGATTAAACTGATTAAAATACTTAATGTATCAATAATTTAATTTGTATCAATAATTATTAGTTAGCATAACAAAAATATACAAAAATAATGAATACTGCAAAGACTGCCTCATCAATAAACCAATAACAATAATATGTACTACAACGAAGTCATAATCAATATTATTCATTTCAAAATGAAAGTAAGAATGATTTATAGGTGTATAAACAATTGGTCATATTCTAAAGTAAATTTGAATACAATGCACAATATTGTAAATGACATGCCTTGAATAACATATTTCATTGATATATATATATATATATATATATATATATATATATATATATATATTTACAAATGTTAAACCTCGTTTATATTTTATTTTTAAATTACTAACCTTTTACTATAGATGACAAAGTTAGAGTATTTATTTTAAACCGAGCTTATAAAGAGAAGAATATGACCATTGTATTTTCAAGCTTCAAATGAACTTATTTCATACCTTTCCCAAACAAGCCGAAAATACTGTTTTGAAATTCTTTATCATTGTTAGTAATATTTCAGCATAAAAGTTTGACTTCATGCAGGAGGTCCATCTTCTTCAAGTTTTCTCCAAACTACATTGCACATTTCTCTGACCAGAGCTTTCTCGCCATCATCCATATGATCCATATTTTGGGTCAATTGAGTGTCCAACTGGTAACCTTTAAGTTTATAAAATTTTACCCTGAGATTTTTTTAAGGAGCAATATGCTAGTACAACTATGTTGCTTCAAATATTTAATAGCACATAATCCCCTAATCTTGCAAGTCTGTGCTTGTAGATTATGCATGGAATTTCAAACAAAACGACTTTTCTTAATTCTTTCTGGAATTTGCACATGTTGTCAGTTATTTTATTTAATAGTTTCACTAAAAATTGTGGCTGGCACTTTGAATCAAAAACCAATATGAACAGAAGTTTGGTAGTTTACAAAATAGCTATTTTGTTTATTTTCACCTAGGTGATGAGATCTTTATAAAATTCGCAAAATCTAGCTTGAAATATTTAATGTTGATCCTATTCATCTCCTAGTCAAAGCATCGAAGGAAAATAACTGCACTAACAATAAGCGACGACTCCATGAAGTACACATAAATGTTGTTCTGTAATAACATGATTGTACGTGTTTTTTTAATAAAAATATAAATTTATTGTTCAATGTTAATTAAATATTCAAAGTCCAAGATCTTTGCATGAACGCGGAAGCACGCCATTCCGGGAATTTGTCACTTTTGATTTATTTGTAATATATAAGTAGAGTCAAAATTATCATTGTAAACCAGTGATGTCTTAAGAGAGAATCTAGTCAAGTGATGATGTCTTAAGAGAGTAGTCTTAGAATATCTTACGAGAAGATTAGGTCTGTCGGAATTGTAATAAGAAGAAATAAATAAAGTGTATAATACTACAAGTGAATTTTATATTGGAAGCCAGAAGTCTATCTCTTTCAGCTAATATCTTACTGAAAGGGCTCATTATTCCGAAGAGACCTATTTATCAAACCATTAACTCAAACTTACTTCTACTGCTCGACCCAAGGCACCAGGGAAGGGTTGGACGGACTTATTACCCAATTGGATAAAGAATCTACCATTGATCTGGAGTGTGGATCTATCAACATTGGACCCCAACCCATACCTAGACCTACTACCAACTACCTATATCATTTCAATGTATACAGCATAAACAGTACCATTTACTTCAAAACAACATAAATATCACATTATTATATTAAAGCATTATACAGATTGTCATCATATACCCTATGGAAAAATATACCCTCAAAAGCATAATCAAATAATGTTTTTAAAATATACCTTGATGCATGGGAAGGTGGTTACTCAGCAAGGCAGTGTTTAGCTGATGATTTTCCGAAGATTCCAAACCTTCTCTTACTTCTAATACTTGTAAGGCCCGAACCACTGCCTCGGGTCGACCAGCTAAGCTGGTTCGCTGTTTATTTGCTGGTTCTGTTGAGTGGAAATCGGCGCAGTGCCGAGTCGTTCTGCCTCGAGTTGTCGAACGCGTGATTCAAGACTACGAACGTATCTGCAGAAACCGATTGCTAATTGATTTCTCAAAAATATTCTAGACTTGAATCTACATTGAGTGTTTACACAAGAATGGAATTGTTACAAATTGAATGATTGACATGCGTTAGATACGTTTCGTACTGCCTGTTACTCCATCCCACTTCTGATTACATCCTTATTTTAAAAATGATCATTTTTAACTTCATCAGTAATACAACATAAAATTTCATCTTGTCTACGCCTTTGCTGCGAAATATTCTAATCCATTAAAATTTTATCGAAGTATCACAATTTGTATGTGTAATACATAGATTGGATGTAAAAGTTCAATACTCCACTTGCTACTAACAATTTTTCACGGATGGTATTTATTTTAAAATAGATATAAGTGTTAATGTTTGAATTGCATAAACAAATATTGGTAATTTCATGAATTCTTCATAGTTATCCTAATAGATTACATTCTCATACAATCTTCGATGACTGCATCAATCTTCATAAATTTTCAACTAGTATAGTTGAAGTCTTTCTCAAAGTGGTCGATTTCGCCCCCCATTGGACGATCGTACTATCCAGGAGAGCGGTAAGAGGCCCCTAACTAATTTTTTTTTACATGTACACACTGTTTTAAGCAGCATTTTATTTGCTCTCACTGGTAAAATTTTCTAATTTAGAATGTAAGGTTACATCAACTAATATAGCACACTATAACTATATCATTAAAATTAAAAAAGTTTTTTAGAGATTATATAGGTATAAAAAAATGTTAGGAGAGCGCTACAAAAATTTTGATCTTCAAAGGGGGCGTTGGAAGAAATAAGTTTGAGAAACGCAGAACTATACCTTATTTGAATTAAAATGATTCATGGTTTTTAAATTTAGTAAAAAATCATCACAAATAGCTTGGCTTAAATCAAAGTATTCAACATCGGCAACTTATCAATAATATTATAAATAACGATTTTCTTTCAAATTTCAGCATTGCTCTTCCTCAGCTAATGTAAAAAGCACATTGAGCCGAGTCAATGGAATTTATTGTTAAAACAATGTGTATGTTATTTATATAAGGTAATAATATTCTAATTTGTTTTCTTAAAAACAATAGATAATCGGGCCTGAAGCAAATATTACGCATTACGGGCATGACTTTTATTTATACAAAACTAGCAAACCCGACGAACTCCGTTTTGCCACCAGATGGTTTAGTGAGAAAGATGAAGAAATTTTTTGTTTGTTTTATATTTGAAAAGGAAAAAAATGATTTTATTGCACAACAGTAATGAGTTTATTTCGATTACAAAAATGAAGTGTTTTTTAGTTAAACTTCTCTAAGTAAATGAAAGTGAATCCGCAAATTATCCGTTTCTTTGAAGTGCTCTTTGGTAAACCACATTTTTTGTTTTTTGATCTGACGTTAACACAAACAAAGCGGATGGTTTTCCAACTCGTGAGCAGGCAACGTATAACTGCCCATGTGAAAAACAATGATTTTCTAAATGGCACGATGCCATGCACCACTAATTTTCTTAGCTATAAACCTTGAGACCTTTCGAGAAATCGGTTCGTGCGTTCTGGAGTTAAATCATCAGCAAGGAAAACCCGACTTATTTTTATATATATGTAGATAATCTATTTGAAATTAAAACATAAAATTATTTTTGTAATAAACTGTACACTTTGTGGAAAATACTCACAAACGCTACGCCAGCTTGAACAACTTTGACACGACATTTTCGAATCTAAATCGTAAGTTAAGAGGATTAAGGAAAAAATACCGCCTGTTCATCTCGCAAATTATAAAAGATACGTATTAAAGTAAAATGATAAAAATTTAGATTTTTTGGGAAAATAAAATGAATAATAAATGTTTATTATAATGAAAAATAAAATAATGCACATGCCATTTTCAACAAAAACATTTGACATCATTCACATAATTGTTACCTCATAGTTTGATCGCTAAAAGCACTTCTAGAGTGCAAATCTCTTCTTTCCCTTCCGCCCGTTTGCGGTCCACCGTTATTTCCTGGGGCGTTTGATGAGCAGTGCGGCGGCGGCAGCGGTGGTGGCGGAGGAGGTTCATCAGCATTCGTACTACTGCTGCTCCCATCTCCATCATCTCTTAAGACAGCACCTGATCCGCCGCCACTGGACTGATTAGCAGATTGCGATGACCGGCACCTGCTGGTAATTAAAATTTTACAATTAAGAGATATTTCACATGAGTTTAATAATCTTTTATTTTTGAAAAAAAAAATTATAAAAAGCTCTTCGATTCTAATAGATTTATCAGTATCGTTATTATTAATCGAAAATATAAAATCGAAAATATTTTTTTGCATATTTTCACGTTTCGGAGGTTTCTGAACATTTTAGCACGCCTTAGAAAAAATAGATGTGCGTATGTGTGAGTGTATGTATGTGTGGATACAATTTTTCGTCCACGTTTTCGAGAGCACGGATCAACCGATTTGAATGAATTAAAAAGCAATCAATTCTCATTTACAGGGACGTGCTGATAAGTATTTTGCAAATGCAGTTCCAGGAGTTTCGGAGATATGAGCAAAAATGGCAGTTATTGAACGGATCTAGTTAAAAAAACATTTTATTAGTGCTGACACTGTGAAGAAATTATTAATTTAAAAAGTTTTTTTTATTTCAAAATTTCATTTTTTTTATTACCAATTAAAGAAAGTAAAATTATTTGGGTTTCAATTTTAACTAGCGCTATTTAAAATTTATCTAAAATTTCATTACGGTAGGGGAAGTTCCAGCAATTTGCCTTAAGGCTCGATGTCATGCACGGTATTTATTATTTTATAATAAATACCGAATTTCTAGGAATGGTAGTAATAATTAAAAAACTAAAACTGTCAAACTTCTATTTTAATGATATTTTTACCATTATAAAAAAAATAAAATGCAAAACTACGGAATTATACATCGTAGATGTTAATTTTTCCTAAAGGCAGCGGTTTTCAACCTGTGGGACACCAGATGATCTGAGAAACTTATCGAAAATAATCCAACATTTGATATTAAAAAATATACAAAAAATAAGCAGCTTTTATACATATTTTATAAAATATTGCATACTTATTTGTGGTCTGATAATGATTATTATAAAATTAAATTGTTGAATAAATTAAGGGGAAGCGCAACAATTTTTTATTAGAGCAGGAGGGCGCGGTGCCAAAATGGTTGAAAATCACTGTCTTAAGGTAAACTACTTTTTAAGGGACTATTTTTCTACTCTGAAAGTAAGTAGAGAAACTTTATTCTGAAAAATGATCCTTAATCCCATCATTATTGTAAATAATTTAAAGATATGGGACAAAATAAGCTAATTATGCTAACATTAATTTCTTTTTTCTCTAATTACTTACCTACAGCCGGCTCCTCCATTTGCAGATCGTTCTTCATCAAGATATAGGCACAATTCTTTTAGTTCTAAGTTGTCTCTAATTAATTCCTGCTGCTTATCATCTAACTGACGAAGTTTACTTTGATATGCCGCAACCTGAATAGTTAAATGTATTAATTAGTATGATAACTGAAAAATCAAAAAATGTTTTTCATAACTTTTATGAGTATTTAGTAAAACTATGCATTTATAAGTAGAACTCCTCCCTAAAGTATTCTATAAACACTATATATAAGCACTATATTTAATTACATTCTGTCTAATGTGAAAATAAAGGCCCAAGAAAAATACAGAATAATAATTCGTTCAAGAAGTTTATACATCTGTAAATAGTCGCACCACGATTATTCTATGTCTAAAAGTTGCATAGGCTAGCGGCGACAGCTAAATGCTACAGAAAAATACGATTCGATACATTATTTTCATGTTATTATTTAAGTTTTTTGATTTTAGAAAATAAAGTAAAAATATAATAAGGAAACTAGTATTTAATATATCGGTATTTAAATTGGCAACAAAATATTGTGGAATTCACAATGTATACGGTCAGCATGTTTCACATTTGAATTTAATAATGTATTGAATATATTTATCAATAAAAGAATAACAAAATAGATAAAATATGAATGATAAAATGACGAAATACAATATCATACTTCTTGTCTCATAACGCTGGCAGTGTATCTGCCAAATCTCTGCCATTCTCGAGCTAATTTTCTGCCCTTCTGACGATCATCGTCCAGAAAGCAGCAAAGGTCACGAAGTTCCTAGAATAAAGATCAATAATTTCAATTGCAAATCGCAAGTTAAATAAAAATTTATAATACTTTTAAAACTACATATATTAAAGACATTACACAATATTAAAATTACATATGCAAAAACTGTACCTGATTGTCATCAGTCAGTCTTCTATTAGCTTCTTTAAGAGCTCTTACTTCATTTGCAAGAGCTTGAAGCTGCTGTCGAACTTGTTCATTCCCGTTAGGTGCATTAGGAATCCTCTGTAAAGGTGGTCCCTGCATCTGTAAAATGTCACCACCGTTATTTACACTTCGAACCTAGAATAATTATACTTCATTCAAAATAATTTCTCTATTAACCGAATAACGCTTTTGAAATAATGTAAAAGCAACAATTATTTCGTTCATCAGCAAAACGTAACACCTAAGCTAAAAATGCCACGATGTTAAAAACGTGTGCAAAATAAAACCTTAAGACAGATACTAAACGCATCCAATGATGGCGCAAACTGGTTCCAAAATCCAACAAGGCAGTAACTGTAACTACTAAAGTGGCGGATAAAAAAATCTTTTACGAATAATTAAGATTACCAAAGAAGTATAATAGAAGCTATTATTATAATATTATAATATTATTAAAATCATTTGTGAAATCCTCATTCATTAAACTATTTGTTATTCACCTGCACAGCATGGTCTACGCCCTCGTGGGACCTCCGAGACACAAACTTAAGCATGTCGTTTTGCTGGTGATGTAATGAAGCCGAAGGCTGATTAGGTGGAATTCGACGTTGGTCTAAATCTTCACTGGAGGCCCTTCCACTGGAGGGTACCAGACTCTGTCGATGAGGCAGTCGACTGTTGTAACCAGCCTGATGTATCGGTGCCTTCAATGGTATCTGGTGAAGATAAAATACGTATATTATTTTACATGAAATGCATGTTTTGATTATCTATTATATAAAAATAAGTCGGGTTTTCCTTCCTGACGATATAACTCCAGAACGCACACACCGATTTCGACGAGTTTGCATTCGGTGGAAAGGTCTCGGACTCTGTGAAGTTTATAGCAAAGAAAATTGAAGAAAGATTTCAACAGAAAAGCGGAAAACACTTTTACTTTTTCACATACAGCGTCATCTCTGATACTTAGCATGTACTTTCAACTAATATTTTGTGTTTGATAGCTACTCATTGTTCTCTGCTCAGTTAATTTCATGTGACAAACCGCCTACTGTGAAATTGTGCAAAAAAAGTAAAAAAAATAAGTTATTCGTTTCAATTGGAAACCATCGAATCAATCACGTGTATTGTGCAAATTTTTATTCAATTTCAACGGCAGGCAATTTTTTCTTCATCTTTTAATCACCAAACGGTGGTGAAATGGAGTTCGCTAGTTATTTATAAAATTTAATAAGTGGTGCATTGCTGTAGAAAAAAAGCTGAAAAAAATTCAAATGTGAATCAGTGAAATTAAAATACATATATGAATTATTTTATATTATATTATATTGAAATTTATCATATTCTGTAATGAATTTGAATATTATTGAATCTCATTCCATATTCTAAAATTATACTGGACTATGGCCTATCTATATTTGAAACATCTTTATTAAAGTTATCAAATGTTATTGATATAGTTTAATGTAATGCAGCAAAGCAGCAAACCACGAGAATCAAACTTATATTTCTTCAAAAAATATAGTTTCCAAAAAAACGACAAACGTACGCTTTTAGGTCAGTTGAAATCTTTTTCTTTGTCAATTTCATATGCAAGATAAAATAACATTAAAATCATTTAGCTAAAGTTAGAATATTATTAGAATGTCTATAGAAAACTTAGGAATTTAATGTGCATTTGTCATACGCTCATATTTTAACAATTTTATCACATTTTCCTGCATGTCGCCAATTGCTTGATATATAATATATTACAACTATGAGACATTTGAGTAAAACATTAAACCAATCTGGACCTACGGAATTGAGCTCTGGGGATGTGCTTACAAATCAAATACAGCTATAATGCAGAGAACTCAGTCAAAAATTTGACGTAGAATTCTTAATTCTCCGTGGTACGTGACAAATGAAACCATTCTCAGCGACCTCAACATGAAAACGGTGCAATTAACGTAAAAAGAATTCAAGTAAAAATACAAACGCAAACTGGACTCACATTTGAACCCATTAATAGTTGACATCACTCAACCTTTTGGCATAAGGAGATTGAAACGACAATGCCCTTTAGACCTAGTCTTAGATTAGGTCTAATATAATATTATCATATTAATTGTTAAACTGAGAAGATCTCATTGGAGTTCTTCTTAGGCATCGCTCTTAAATATTGTCAATTTAGCTCATAGGAATCTTTATGCATTTCTGATTGCTAAATAAAACAGAGTAAAAAAATGTGTAAATAAATTATTTTAAAATATTAATCGAAATTAATTACAGTGTTATAAACTTTTAATATATATTTATTAACTTTCCGTAGGGTAAGTGATTGATTAGTTTTTGGCAAAAGTCGGTTCAGCCGTTTCGGAGATATGAAGCAGAGTGCAGAAAATGGAAATTATATTTCTGAGAAACAAAGCATTCGACTTGAATGATTCAAAAAACATTCAATTTGTAATGATGGGAAGAACTGATGATTAGTCTTTGGCAAAGACAGGTCCAGCCGTTTCGGAGATACGGAGCTAAATGGCAGTTTTGAGAGAACAAAACATCCGATTTGAATTATTATTCTTTTGCTTGTATTAACGAAACGATTATTTTAAAAAAATATTAATATTTCTTTTTTCATCACCAAAAAAGTTTTTTTTGAATATCGAAAATAATTCGGATTTTATTTTTAATATTATGTAAAATTTTAGAGCTCTCTTATATACTTAAAATTCACTTATAATAATATATTTAAGACATATTAATTTGCCTTAAGGAACGATGCCATACACCACTTGTTCAATATATTATTTTATTGAAATGACTTACATTTTTACTTCTTTGGCAGCATTGCGTCGCCTACCAATATTTTAATTAAACTGTTAATAAACTAGATACACCACAATGACCACAACAGGAACACCATTGTCAAATTTTATACAAATAAACTTGTTTTATTCAGAAAATACTCGACAGAAAAGGTTATAAATTATGTCATCGTGTCACATAAGAATATTCAACATATTTCGCACGTGTACGCGCACGAATATTACCTATTCTTATTCACAGATTGTATGGACCACTCAGTACATCTGATCGAAAATATTTCAAGGCTACTGAGTAGTTTGTTCAAATCCAAACGTAAAAACAAATTAAGTTGTCTTAAACAGAACCGTTGTTCTTCAATACATCGAGATGTGAGGTACATTAATTTTATTTTTTGAAATTCAATTAGTCGATTTAAATAATGCTCATTACGGATGCGTATAACAAGCATTTACAGGTTTACTTTTTACACTTCAAGATTTGAACATTGAGGTAAAATAGAAAGGAGTGATATACTCGTATTTTAATATCTCACAACTACAACTTGTTATTAAAATTTTGGCAAAATTCAAGCACTATACAGCTTCAAGAGCGTCAATGCTAGATGATTTGGATTCATTTTAAAAGTACAGAATTGTACACTGGTGAGTTTATTAATGAAGCGAAGAATCCACTTTTTCCATTGATTTATGCTTCTTGACATATGCAACTTATTGTTAGAAAAAGAGCTGTCGAAAGTCAAAAATCAAGGCTTCAACCATTATACTTTTGAAAATTCATATAAAAAAAAACGTTCATATCATGATAGAAAAGACGTACTTATTTCTCAGGAAAATGATTTATATAAAATGTATTTAAGGAGCTCAAATAATTAAATACGTTATATATTCGTTTTTGGCAAAAAAAAATCAGTGTCCTATGATCAAATGTACCTTTGTGTCTTACTCGCAATAATTGATCAAAAAATCTTGATACATGTAAGATTGTTTTTTCGAAAACTATCATTCACACAGATATATACAGGGTGTCCCAAAACAATGTCAACCTGAAAGGGGTATAAAAATTGATTCAAACTATCATGAAAACATTAGAACAAAAAATTATTGAATATCGTTTGAAAAGTATCAGCTTTCGATTGAAACCTAGAGCTTTGTTGAAACTTTGACCTTTTTCAGTTATTGTAGATAATTTTTATTTATTTTGTTGAATTTGGCTCCCTTACTATAAATGACATTTCTAGGACTGCAGTCAAAAATAACTAGGTGACGGCGGGAGTACCGCAGGGCTCGATCCTGGGACCGTCACTTTAACGTCTACATCTACGACATCCATCTCCACTGACACTAACACAACTTTACTTACATTTGCTGACGATACTGCCATATATAAATCTTCACAATCAGCTACACTACTGACTACAAAGATACAGGCACACATAGACAAGCTAACTGAATATACTGCTAAATGGCAGATCAGGATCAATCCGCAAAAGACTGATTACACTGACTGATTTGGAAAAACTGAAAGTAATGAGAAATGAAGTTGAGTGGTCCAAAGATGTCAAATACCTTGGTGTGACATACGGGATATTAATCTACTGTGACCTCTCTTGAACCGTAACAGCCGGCTGAGCGTGAAGAACAAGCGGACACTATTAACAAAGTGACTAGACATTACTCCTCTACAAAATACATGAACAGATTGACGTACCGACAATACTCGACTATATAAAGAAGCTCATTGAAATTTTTTTACCAAAAATGTGGGGATCACCCTAATACCAAAATCGCGGGTCTTGACCAATTTAATAAAGACATAGTTTGTTATGGCAAACATGCCATGCCAAACTATATCCTGATCGATCCAAAGCAGCAGATGATATTTGGCTCGTCACTGATTTTCCTTCAAAGCGAATAAATCTTTTGTTTTGTTTTTCTTTTCTTGTGTAATTATTTATTAGTATAATTATTATTATGTGATTTTTTTTGGGGAAAAAATGTTTCTTTCCTTTTTTTGTCACACAATCATGGCATAGCTTTAATAATCTAAATACTTATTGTTTTAATAGAATGACGGATACTATACCTACGTCTAAATATCCGGACGAAATAAAAAATATTATGTATATATTTATATTTATTGAAATTCATTCATTGATTCACACTAAAAATTAATTACAGAATTACCCAATAAGTTATTCAAAATTTTGTAGAATTTAAAAATTTCAAAATGGGTCAACTTTGAAAAGCTAGCCTTTCAAAAAATTTACTAAAGTCAGTCAGCAAGTTTAATCAAAAGTTTGCACATTTATTCAGGATTGTAGAATTCATAATAAGAAAACTCGAAGAAAAGCATAAAAACCAAAGAATTACATGATTTTTTTTTTTAATGATACTATGATCTCGTATCGGCTGTTGACGTTGAGTTCTGGCGGACATCTTGTATATACGCTCATCTTTTTACGTAAATCTCATTGTTCTATATTCTGGATGGTCTTAAAAATTATATTTTAATTAATCTTTCAACACCAATTATACATTCTTACAATAGTCACTCGCTTTCAACACATTTCAACGTATAAGGGAATATACTAATATTTTATTTAACAAAGTAATAACGAATGAAAGTCATCGTCAGTAAAATCATAAATTTCTATCAGAATTAGAATCCTAGATAATATTAGAATATGATATATTCATAGAAATTGATTAGAATTACTACTAACAACAATGATCTGCATCTTACTAATTCAAAATCTGCTGGACTGTTGCCATAGCAGTGCATTATTAGCCGTTAAATTCAAAATATTATAATATATACCTAGGAGTGATGCTAATACAACTTACCCCCTGGGTGGTAGTTTGCTGCGGCCTGATCTGTTTCGATTGATCTTGCGTCACAATAGGGTGTCCTCTTAGAGGTTGCTGTTTAATTAAATGTGGCTGCGGAGGTGGCTGGTACCTCGGAGGTACCTGCTGGTGATGTTGCTGCGTTTGCCCGTCCTGAGGAGGGCCCAAAGCGTTTGGATTCGGTGCGACCTGCGCTTGATACTGCTGAAGCAGTGGTTGCTGCTGTACTATCTGCTGATGGTGGCCGTTCGATGGAATCGGAATACCGGACATGGTCGCAGCAATGTTATTTTAACTCTTGAAAGGCATAGTTTGGTCATGCGTGGAGATAGGATTTCTGTGAAATATTATTATAAATTAATATCACATTATCAAGATGTAATCAGCCTTAATGCAAGTTGCAAGTTCCCGAAATGTGTAATAATTGACTTAATCAACCGAAATTGGGATTTATATATTTAGATAAATCATGTGCGTAGTCCTTGATATTATTTATTGATTTAAACTAGCTGTAAGTGGAATTCTATCTTAAGGCAATTAAGGCATCGTGCCTTAATGCAAATTGCTGGAACTTTCTTTACCGCAATTCAAAATTCGAGTAATTAAAAATAATCAATAATAATCAATAAAAGTTGATCAATGATTTGAAACTTTCAATAAAATTTCGAACCGTATTAAATCATTCTATCTTAAATCATTTATTTTGAAATATTTTGGAAATTCTGAACTTTATTTCAAAGTAATCGTACTGCTTTAACTGCATAAAGACGAAATATCGAAGCGCGTAAGCGCCGCGTCGCCCTCTAACGCGTAAACATTGGTACGAAACCCACAGGAATGTAAACAAAATTTATACTTATTACTAAAATCTCTATAAAATATCTGATACTTTGATGTGCATATGTCTAATGATCATTTTTGACCGCCAAATGGCTTTTTTGTTACTTTTTTCACTAGATCTCCGAAACCGCTAGACCTGCCTTCATGAAAATCAGCGCTTCATCTTGTTAATATAAGTAAAATGTTTTTTGAATTATGCAAATCGGACGCTCCGTTCTCTTAAAAATTGAGTTACCGTTTTTGGCACTTTTTGCCCCATATCTTCGGAACGGCTAGACCTGCATTCGCCAATAACTAATCAGCACGTCTCCTTATCAATACAAATCGAATGTTTTTTGAATTATTCAAATCACTTCATTCGTGTTCCCGAAATCGTCGACGAAAATTTGTATGCGCACACACATACACACACGCACACACACATCACACACACACACATGCATCCATGTTTTCTAAGGTATGCCAAAATATTCAGAAACCTCTGAAACGTAAAGATATATAACAATTTTCATTTTCGATTTTTTTGCGATTATATAACTTACCCTACGGAAAGTTAAAAATCATAGAAATTTATTTTTTCAACAATTAATTACAAGACCTTGTGTCAGCGAATCTTTACCAAAAGCTAATCAGTTGCTTTCCAAACTAATTTTTTTCTCTTTGCTGCAACTTACAAAGAAACGGCTTTGCTGATCGTCTCACAAAACTGACAAACGTTAGTCCTTATCGATTTACACTGAACGGCTTTTAAATTTTTGAAAACGGCCCACCCGTTTTTGAGAAATCGTCGACGAACATACTTTTTCCAAATTTGGTCTCATTCGATTCAGAATGGCTTAAAACGTGGAGAAAACAAAAAAATAGCTAATTGGATTTTTTGACGAAAACAAACTTCTCCTTCGGGAAGTTAATAAAAAAAATCTATCGTTTGCTATTATTGACTCTTTTAAGTATTTCTTAATGCTGATAAGTTCGCGGAAAAATTAAATTTAATAGAAACCTTCAAGAAAGCACACCGTTTATGATCAAGACCTACATTAAATTTTATAGTCTAATCGTTGGAAATCGAATCAAGATTCAATCACCTTTCTAAAGATCGGTAAATAAAATTATGAAATAACAGCTGCAATATGCAGCCAATACAAAATATAAATTTCATAGACACATTTTTTACTATACATCAGAAGAGTTGGAGTAATTATTAATTTAATTTATTTTTTGTAAAATTATTTTTTTAAACTGAATTTACATTTTTATGTCCTATTTTTTATTGTTTACATCTTTGCCAGGGTTCATCCTTTGTAGCCCACCCCCATGTAAGCTATTATATACAAAAACATCTGTTGAATCTACCTTAAAAATAATAATATATTTTAACGTATTATTATTAAATAACGTATACTTAAAAATTATATTAAAGTCTCGTGAACTGAACAAGAGTGCTTACAGCCAAAAAAAAATAAAAACGAATGAAAATTCTTTTGTTATAGATTTTTGAATATGGTTGTTTATATCCTGAAAGCTTGATTTAATGTGATAGCTGGATACACAACTTTTGCCCTTTACTTTCAAATATTGGTAAAACAAATCCAAACTTTACTAGTTTTTGAGTTATTGATGGTTGGCCTATTTACCTGCGGACCTTTATGCCCCGTCTACCCTAAGAGAAAATTTGTGTAATACTTCTGTAGCATATGCAAGTTTAATGAGTTATTTATTTCGGTGCTTTCAAAATTCATTCTAAACTAATTGATACAATTCCTACAAAGTATTGATTGAATTAAAATCATTTAAAATAATCATTGGATTCAATTTGCTTCTCCATATATTTCATTAGTTAACTTTAGAGAACTATCTCTGGTTAATTTAGAACAAGGAGTGCTGTGACAGACTAAACGACATATGCGGATATGTATATTTAGCCGAATATATTATGCAGTCCGTCTGATATATCTAATTGTAGGAAAAGTAAATACAATTTAAAAACTAGTTGGTTTGGTATTTAGCCTTGAGGCAAGTTACATGAACTTCCCGATATGTTTAAATAATCGACTTAATCAATAAAAAATGTGTAAATAATATCTTTATCAATCCTACTTTGAAAAAAACGATAATAATTTTAGCAAACTTTGACGAATTTGTAAAATTAAACTACTTGTCGTAAGGCCATAATTTACAGTAAGTTCTGTAAGACCATGATGTATATCGCCAAAAAAAGTGACATGAAAATCGGCTTAAATTTTTTTTCAACAGTTAATTACAAGAAAACGGCTCGGTAGATTTTCACCTCAAATTAATCAGTACCATTCCCAACTAATATCTTTCGAACAGTTTTTGATATTTTAAATCGGTTCGGTAGGATGAGCTTAAATGTCGACGAAATTTAACACTTTTTTTCAACAGTTAATTACAGAAAACGGCTCGGTAGATTTTCACCTAAAATTAATCAGTATCATTCCCAACTAATATTTTTCGAACAGTTTTTTATTTTTTAAAATCGGTTCGGTAGGATGAGCTTAAATGTGTACGAAAAGTTTTTTCGAATTACAAAGAAACGGCTTGTCAGATCGTTGCACAAAACTGACAAACGATAGTCCTCACCGAAATACATCAAACGGCTTTTAAATTTCTAAAATCGGTTCAGGCGTTTTTGAGAAAACGTCGATCAAAAGTCTAATTTTGACAAATGCCAAAAAGACCATACTGATTTTTGCAAACTTTGACGAATTTTTAAAGCTGAACCAGTTGTCGTAGGGCCGTAACATTTTAGTATGATCTAGAAGACTATGGTATCTATCGTCAAAAAAATAATCATAAAATCGTCGAAATTTTTTTTTAAAAACTTTATTACAAGAAAACGGCCCGGCCGATCTCTACCAAAACTAATCAGCACGATTCCCAACCAATATCTTTCGAACGGTTTTTGAATTTTCAAAATCGATTCAGAATTGCGGGCTAAACGTAGACGAAAATTTTTCACTTTTCTGCCATTTATAAGAAACGGCTTGGCCGATCGTCGCACAAAACTGACAAACAATAGTTCTCGTCGAGATACATCGAATGGCTTTTAAATTTTGGAATCGACCCAGCCGTTTACGAGAAAACGTCGATTTACGGCAAAAATCTGTTCACATACACACACACACACACACACATACTTTTTCCAAATTTGGTCTCATTCGATTCAGAATGGCTTGAAACGTCGAGAAAACATAAAATTAGCGAATCGGATTTTTTGATGAAAACATAAACTCTCCTTCGGGAAGTTAATAAATATCAGTCGTTGCAAAATGTTGCCATAGTTTTTCTAAACTAAGTTCATTGTCTAATGCATGTGTGAAATAGTTCATAAAACAATCATCATTAATTCGCTCGTATTACAAAATAATTACGAAATCATTGCAGATGCGTGACTGGTAACCAGTTTCTCACAATCCGTAATTAAAAACAAATTCTAACCATTAATTATATTTTAGTATTTTTCTTTATTAAGATAATATGTTCAAATCCACAATATAATTAAGATAAGAACTCCGACGCATTACTACATGCGTGTTCATTAGCTACCTGTAACTTTATATTTATTGCAAATTGAATATGAGAAAATAAATGTACTAGACACGCATCTAACAAGTATTCTTTAATAAAAGTTCCTCACAAAATGCTGAACAGAAATGAAATCGTAATATTGTATTTAAAATATAAATGATTAAACACTAATTTATTATTCATAATATTTTAACCGAATTTTCTAAAATGGTGTTTGTAAACTAGATTTTTTTTATTATATTTTTAACAGCAATCAGAACCTTACGTTCTATGAGCTGTTGGGCTGAAACTTCTCCTTACTTCGTATTTTTAGATGGTAACCCAATGGTTAATCCATCCATATTTGATGATTTTTATTATTAGAATTAATCTAATAGGGCTGACTTTTTATTGGTGCAGCTATGCCGGGTAAGGGCTATTTTCACTTGGAAACATATTGCTATCTTCATTTCTAAGTGAAAATCGTTGTCACTGCTGCCTGACAACAGGCTGCTCGAAGTGGGTATCGAACCCTTTGCAACAAGTCCCGTCGCTCTTAACCGCTTACCTACGGGCAAGCCCTGTAAACTAGATTATCGTAAAGTGCTTGTTATAAAAATGAACCAATATAAACCGACTAACTATAGCCATTTTGGGACTGATTCTGCCGCATAACAGTCCAATGTTATGGCAAGGCCATGTTACGGCCCAAGTTCCATACATGGTACTGAATCATACTGAATACTGTCAAAATGTCATGTATTTGCTGTGCATTCAGGCATTTTACACATAAACTGCAACGTCATTCGTATGTTATAAAGCTGTGTCAGAAACACCATGTTATCTAAAATCGTTTTTTTGACATGTGTGCGGTATCTAGGTTAGATTTTCTATGTGACCATAACATTGGGATGTCATGCGGCAGAATCGGTCCATTTAAATGACAATATTATGAGTGATGAATGAAAT